AATAGAATAGAATAGAATAGAATAGAATAGAATAGAATAGAATAGAAAATATGGAATGGAATGAGGAATAGAATAGAATAAGAAATCAAAATAGGAGAGAACAGAAAAGAACAGAAAGTAGAATAGAATAAGAAATCAGAATAGAATAGAATAGAATAGAATAGAATAGAATAGAATAGAATAGAATAGAATAGAATAGAATAGAATAGAATTCTTTATTGGCCAAGTGTGATTGGACGCACAAGGAATTTGTCTTGGTGCAAATGCTCTCAGTGTACATAAAAGAAAAGATACATTCCTCAAGAGTCAAGAATTATAAGGTCCAACCCTTAATGATAGTCATAGGGTACAATAAGCGATCTAGGAAACAGTCAATATAAATCGTAAGGATACAAGCGACAAAGTCAGTCATACAGTCGCAAGTGGGAGGAGATGGGTGATAAGGAGTGATAAGAAGAGCAACAGCAATAGCAGTGCAGACTTTGTAAATAGTTGGACAGTGTTGAGGGAATTATTTGTTTAGCAGAGTGATGGCATTGGGGGAAAAACTCTCCTTGTGTCTAGTTGTTCTGGTGTGCAGGGCTCTACATCCTCGTTTTGAGGGAAGGAGTTGAAACAGTTTGTGTCCAGGATGTAAATATTTTCACAGCCCTCTTTTTGACTCATGAAGGATACAGGTCCTCGATTGAAAGCAGGTTGGTAGTAATCGTTTTCTTCTGCAGTCCTAATTACTCTCTGAAGTCTGCGTCTGTCCTGTTGGGTTGCAGAACCCAACAGGACAGTTATATCTATATCAAAAGTAAATTTTGGGAAGTTTGTCATAAATATTTTTTAAATCAAGTTTATTTATTGATTGATATAGAGATATTTTGAAGACGGTGTATCGTCCTGGCATATTTCATTTTACCAAAGAAGAAAATAATAGATATACCCAATACTAGTAATGTTAACAATATATGGAGTATTTATAACAATATTTATAATTCTGTTGGCTGATATATAATCCTATTAATTGTACCAGCACACTTATCATTGTAAAACAACCTCCATCTTTCACTTATACAGAACAATAAATAACCTTTCCCCATCTAATTTCTGCCTCTTAAGTTTGTCGTAACTTTGAAGAGTGGAGGACTACCTATAATTCATGCCAAGCTGCAACTCGGGGCAGCCCAAAATTTTCTCCGATCCAGCTTCAGGTAGCAATCGTCGCGTCTACCTCTATGGTACTTTTCCTGACTTGTCTTCTTCTTCCAGGCGACCAAATCCAAGAAGCCTATCATGCTTCCGGTCACATTTATGGACGGTACCACTAAGACCTTGTTAACAGACTCGGCCACTACGGCCAAGGAGCTTTGCACCTCGTTGGCCGACAAGATAAGCCTGAAGGACCATTTTGGCTTCTCCCTTTACATTGCACTCTTCGACAAGGTAGGAAAAAGCGACGGGAGGAAAGACCTCAAGTAAGTTGGCTGGGGGAATTGTGGGAGTTGAAGTCCACACGTTTTAAATGTGAAAAAGTTTGGGAAACCGTGACTCAACCTCTTACCCAGATGGCTTTCATGCCTAAGGCGGGACTAGAACTCACTGTCTCCTAGCAA